AGGCTTGTGATCACATGGCCTTTGTTCTCCTGTCTCCTCACTGAATTCGATCCACAGCCTGTTCTCCAGACAAGCTAGATTGCTTGTTATTTTATAGACCCTCTCCTCATTTTTCAGGGCTGAATGCTGTCCACATGTTGGTCTGACACTTAAAATACCGCTCCCTCATCTCTGCCCAAGGAAATACCTTTGAAGTATGACGCAACTGTTCCTAGCCTGAGAGTTTTCATATAACACCCCCTATGCAGAAGCTAGCCCCTCTGCTCTCCCATTCTGCCTGGCATGTAGGCTGTGATGGTCTTTTGACTCATATCTCCTATTCTTTGCTTAGTCAAGAAAAGCATCCTAATCTCTCTGCTTTTGCCTCTCCGCCATTGCCTGATGGAGTGTCTTGAATGAGGCTGGCCCTTCAACCGGCAGCTGTGAGATGGGAAACAACAGCCTCGTTCTGGGCAAATGCGTTTTCACATCGTGTGATTAATTTGGTTCCTCTCCCAGCTCCCAAACTCATTTCCTTCCTCAAGTGCAATACAGAAAAGGTGTCACCTCTGTGTGCTAACGTTGTTGCTCAACCTGTGCAGACATTTGGAAACCCACACTGTAGTGTGATTTAGAGAAGGGAATGCCCTGGGGAGTCTGTCTGCAGCAGCAGGTAATTTAAATCCCACCTCTGCCTGCTTCGGGGCTGTTGGAGTTGTCAGAGTTTTAAGGAGACCCTGATTGAGTCTAAACTGTGAACGGCATCTCTGTTGCTAGCCAGAGACAAGTCTGGTATGAAATAACCTGTGGGGCTCAGACTCACCTTGCATGTTCTCGAGAAGCCAAGGCAGGACCATGTACTGAAACATCAGAGGACAGTGGGTTAGGAGGGGCTGAAATAGTCCCATCTGCCTTTAAAACCGGAGAAAAATGAGGCTTTCATGAGAGTGGTCTGATGGAAAAAGTCGAGCTGGTGGACATGGGCTAAAACCAGTCAGTCTACCGTAATGAGGTCTGACTACAAGGTCGTGAGGAAAACAGTACCCCAGTTCCTCAACATTCATCTTTGGTTTTATTGTGCTGACCCTGGCTTGCTTCCAAAGATCAATTCTGCAAACCCTGGAAAGCAAAGCGGCCAAAAACTGCAATTTTTACAAAGGTGTTTTTCATTGTCTGTCTGAAATGAATGCTTCTGGGCAGCTTGATCGAAAGCAACCAATGGACTGACCAATTAACTGATATGTTGCTCTATCTGTATATCAAGAAATATATGGTAATGCACACACACACATGCATGATGGAGAGTTACAAATGAGTCATGTTACAATTGAAATTAAGCATGAATGACACAAATGACTTGGTAGCAGGAGAAAATGTGTTGATGTCTGAAACTGACTTGGAAATAACATGATTTCCCGACAGACTATTGGACAGACTATTTGACAGGTAGTAAAATAATGATGTAGAGTTCTAGTGGTGAGTATATACACTCCCTCTAAAATACTTTCGCTTTTCTTTATGTTTAAATATTTTCATGGTAAATTGATGAAAAGGTAAAATAAGGAAACAAGCAGGTATACATTTTTACCCATAAAAGTGAGGTTCTAACATGGTTGGCTCTGCATGCAGACATGAGTAGGTTTTCTTCCTGTATGGGTGGGTGATGTATCCCTGTGTCTTCATGTGGATGTGTACCTGTTGGATGTCTTCCTCAATTGCTCTCCACATTATCAATGAATCTGGGGCTCACTGATTTGGTTAGACTGGCTGGCCAGCAAGTTCTGTTGCAGAGATTCTCTTGTTCCACCAGGTCTCACAACCGATTCAACCCCAAATACACAGACATTATATTAATTACTGTTAACCGATGGCTAGGGCTCTGTCTTAATTATTAACCCATTTCTATAAATCTATATATTTCCACATCGTCTTGGCTTACCGGAGAAGGCCCAGGACTGTTACTCCTTTTGGCAGCTACATGTCATCTCTTTCTGGCAGGCTTTCTCTGCCTACCATTCCCAGAATTCTCCTTGTCTCCTAGTCCCACCTATCTCCTTGCCTCTATTGGTTAGTGTTTTATTCATCAATCAATAAGAGAAATATATACAGAAGGACATCCCCCATCAAAGTTCTAGGGACCCTCCTGTCTCAGCTTCTCTGATGCTAGCTAGGCTTACAGGAATGTGTCACCAGACCTGGCTTTTTACATGAGTGCTGGAGATCCAAACTCAGGGCCTCCCGTGGCTTTCACTGCCAGCACTTCCAGCACTAATCCATCTCTTAGCCTCAGGCTTTTGACTTTTGTCCTGTGCCCGCCCCCTTCATCAGAATGCCCCAAACTCTTCTCTATCCTGCCCTGCACTCTAGATGGCTGACTCTCTGTACTGCACCTGAGAGGGGAAGAGAGCCTGCTTCCTTGCTGATTTTTGAGCTGCTAAACTGACAGCGGCTGGGTTTTCTTAAAATTGGAGCTCCTGCCATTCTGTGGTTCGACTGCAGTGGGCTCCTGGAACACCATTTTCTGTATTGGTGTGTTCAGCCCTGTGGGTAGTAATGGCTCCTAGACTTCCTTTAAGCTGTTCATGGCTCTCTATTTTAATTAAGTAGTCTCTTAATTAAAACCTTTTTAAATATTAAGTAAATTCTTCTTCCTGCTGGGACCTTGATTGATACCATTGGTACCCCTGCCTTGTAATAAATGCCTTCTTTCCCCTATGTCCCTTCCAGGGTACACCCACAGGGTTCTGATTTGTGTGTAGCCAACATTTATAACTCTCTGAGGACCGGGTCTGATTTAGTTGGAGGCTGCCTGTCTTAAATCCATGCAGTAACTATGAGGTAAATGGAAACTTTCATCTTTGGAGATTGAGATTGTCTGCTGGGTGAGGATCTGATGGCCACTTGGGCAAGAGCTGGTTGTGACACACCTCTAGCAGTGAGGCACTAACAACTCATTTCAGTGGTCTCAAAGTTTCTCCATAGAAATTCCATCACTGAGTTCTAGAGATCTCTATACAACCTTGGGCCTATAAGAGTCAATATGTATCTTGCAATTAAACATTGGTTAAAAGAGTAGATCTTACTTAGGTATTCTTATCACTATAAAATAAAAACAAAAAATTAAACTGCTCTTGTCACATATACTGTACTAAGTTTTGAGTAATGTAGAATTCAATTAAGAGATAAATGAGGCATTTTGTCTGATACTCCCTGATAAATTACAGGGTTGAATTTGAATTTCAGATCACATATGTACTGAATCAAATAAATAATTTTTAGTGTAGATATTCCCAAATATTCCATGTGGCATACTCAGATCATAAAAGGTAATTATTTGTCTGGTGCTGAAATTAAACTTGATGTTCTGTGTTTCATCTGTTAAATATGGCACTGTAGCTAACAAGTGATCTTAGCATTATGTCACATCGCTGTGTCTCTGTCTCGGTGCCCCTGGTGCCCAGTAGTAATTAATATCTGTTTCTCTAGTAGACTTGGCAGAGGAAGGAATCTGACCTTTATGTCTAGAAGATGACCTAGTGGATCTTGAATCTGAGACCCATCACTTACCAACTAAGAGAAATAGGACCAGGAAAGGGCATTCACTACAAAAGAATTAGGGATTTTCTGTGAAGAGAGACCAGAAATGGATTACATCTGATACATTATACCTCCTCAAAAAAGATAAGGTCATTTATTGTTGTCTTTATTCCAATAAAAAATAGCTGGAAAATTATCTATTAACTTAGAAGCATTTGGCCACATGTGAAATGAAGGGAAGATAATTCTTTACCTCTTAGGAAAGTCTCCAAACCAACCTGGGTGTGGGGAAGACATCAAGCTTATATTTTTTTGTTGGTTTCTGTTCCTACCTCTGGTTAAATTAAGCCTTTCTTTGATTACATATATATAATATATATTCCATGCCATATTATATATATACATATATATTAAAATTTCTGTTCTGAATTTTTGGCTATAGTTTTTATAGGATTAATAGAATTGAACACCATTGTTAGTCAAACTAAGGAAGAAATGTATTAGTTCACATCATTGTCTTTGATTAGATTAGCAGAGACTGGATTTCAGAGGAAGAGTTGAATTAGAACAGCTTGTTTAAAAGGTGCAAAGAAAATAAATGGGGACAGGAACTGAGTGGGAATCTCTTATCAAGTAAGCTGTACGTGGGATGACTCAGATAAAATTCATGGGGAAAAAGTCTAGAACATGACCTAGTTATGATACCCAAGAGGCAGGAAGCTGGGGTGTTCAGAGTGGTCCTGCTAGACATTGAAGAGGGGTTGCTGGATCAGGGCACAGATTCCTTAGCATTTCCTTTCAGTTTGGTTTATGTACAAAAAAGACTCTCAGTATCTTTTAAGAAAGCCCTCAGGCAATGCTGCAGATCCTGGTAGCTAGAAATGGGCCATAAAGCTATAAAGTGATGAAGCCGAAAGGCTTATCACAAGTGTGACATTTCTAGCTCACCACCAACTGACTAGTTCAGCTTGGAAATGCAGGACTGAATGGCATTTACCATTTGGATAGAAATCACCTCCCCTCTCCTGCATCACATGAAAGCTTTAGATGTTGTAGTTCCTTTGTATCTATGGTTTTACCTTCCAGAGTTCCAGGCCCCATAGTCTGCATCTGTCCAAAAATAGTAAATGAAAAACTCCAGGTATGAACAATTTGTTATGTTTTTAAAGCACTTGCTGCTCGGGAAGTGAATCATTCCCTGTCCAGTATTTCCGTGCCGTGTAAGCTACCTGCCCATTAGCCATTTCATCTCATATAATCAGATGAGCTATCTCAAGACCACAGTGCTGGTGGTCAAGCAACCCTATTTCACTTACTAATGTTTCCCAAATGCATGGGTAGATATATTGGCAGTTTTTATGCAGCAGATTATTAAAGATTATTCCATTTTGTTATTAGTAAGTTATAAATTATTGCTTATCATAGATTATATATATATATATATATATATATATATATATATATGAACAAAACAGTTTACATACTTTTAGATGTCTATAGTGTCAGTCATCCATCAAAAGAGTCTTGATGTTTGGGAACTCCAAGTTCTGATTTCTGAGTTCCAATTTTCTCCATGATTTTCAGGAGAGAAAGATATCTACATCATGGTACAAAACAGCTGTTATTGAACCACAAGTTCTCTATGTGAACTATGCATTTTTATATCAGAGAACTACCATTGACATCCACTAAAATAAACAAAACATTTTATCCATTTGTTCTTAGGTCAACAGACTTCAGTTTTCATTCCTTAAGTCATGTCTTGTTCAGAAGTTGGTTCATATATCATTGATTGCTATAATAGGTAAGAATTCACCTTTGGATTTGAAGGTACACCTTTACAAAGCAGTAACAACTAATGTTTATACAGTGCTTGCTGTGTGCCAGGCAATGATAGTAACAGTATAGCCTCATTAAGGCTGGAATTACAGAACCCAAGGATTCTAAGTGGGAAGAGGGAATTTAGGGTGACTGTGTTCTATAAAAGATACATCATTTGCCTAAGGTCATCATACTAGCATGGTGGACTCTACTCTAGGACCCCAGTTGTCTGACCCTGGGTCTGCTGCTCTATCTACAGCTACCTGTAGGACTCTGTGATGAAGAATGAATGTGCAGATTTTATTGACTGGTTCTTCACTTTATACCTAGAGAAACAACCTGTGTAAAGGTTGTCACAACTTCTGGTTGCATCAGACTGCCTTCATAGCCACCTTTTACAAGCTCTGAACTACAGGCTTATGAAAGACACAAGCTTTTAAGCCACAGAGACCTACTGTTACTATAAATCTTTCCGCCAAAAGCCACCTGAGCCACGTGGGCGCTTCCCGCCAGCCACCGGAGATCTGCCCGCCAAGTTAGGGCCCCTAAGTATAGTGGAGACTTATATTAGGTACAAATGCTGCTTGGCCAATGACTAGGACTTCTCATCTGTTAGCTCAGTCTTAATTATCATAAATCTATATATTTTATAAGACTTATCTTATTTAGGATGCCTTCCATTGGTGTCCTCATCCTGGGATCACATGGTGACTGTGGAGGAAGAGAGAAGGGGCCCACTTCCTTCTTGCCTTTGTTTATATATGAGTCTCCCTGCCATGTCACTTCCTGTGGATCACCATTTCTTTACTACATTTCCCAGAATCCTCCTTGACTCCTAGTCCCACCTAACTTGCTGCCTCATTGGCCAAACAGTACTTTATTTATCATCCAATAAGACAAACACATACACAGAAGCACTTCCCCCATCAACCTACAGTTGGAGAGGCAGGTGTGTTGGGCACAAATGAGAACAAGTGTTCTCTCTGGAGTTATCTGTTTACTATATTCTCAAATAAGGCACCCATGAAAAGGACATTTGTGTCATAGGACTGTGGAAGTGGCTTGCTTCTCAGTGTTGTGAATAACCTTGAGGAGGAATTAATTCATCATGACAAGGTTCAAAAACACAATTGCAGTCATTTTTCTCAGTATCACCTTGTGTAACACAAGTCCTTTAGAACCAAGGTTAGCAACATTTTTGGTAAAAGGTCAGACAATAAGTATTTTATTGATTACTATTTCTGTCTATTGGATCTACAGTCCAACTACTCATCTCTGCCCACTGTAGACAAGAAGCAGTCATAGGTCACACGTGTGCTACTACTATTTCAATAAAACTTTATAAACAGAAGGCCAGTGCCAGATCTGACCTATGGGCTGAAGTTTGTAAACCCCTGCTGCAGAAGGCATGGAACCTGCCAGCCCTGCCTGTTCAGGTGGCAGTTTGAAAGGCCTAACACCTTTGTTTGCTCCTTTAATAGTCTCTTAATTTATCAGTAATCTAATTAACACCTTCTTTTCCTGCTGACAGACTCATTTCCTGATGAATAGTTTAATTGAGTTTTCAAACAACAACAAAGACTAAGTTGTTACAATGGCCTTCAAACATCAACAAACAAAGACTAAGTTGTTACAATGGTTAAGATATGAATTTAGTTCTCAAATATCAACAAGCAAAGACTAAGTTGTTAAAATGGTTAGGGTATGTTCTAAGCATTAGACCATGTCCAGAGAGTTAACATTAGATACTTGTAGAGGGTCTTACTCTAAATCCAAACAATCTTGAGAAGTTTAAGATATACTTCCATCAAAAAAGTATACCATTAGATAGAGTTTCTAAGCAATAAATGACTATATTCAACGTATGCATACATAAATAGGCTTATAGGCCTAGTTTATATCCTAGAGTCCTTATTTTTATGTTTATAAATTTTAAAAAATAGATTTACATATTTCATTTTATGTACACCACTTGAATTCTTGGTGCTCCCAGAGGTCAGAAGAGGGCACTGGCTGCCCTGGAACTTGAGTTAAAGATGATTGTAAACTGCCATGTGGGTGCTGGGAATCAAACCTGGGTCCTCTGCAAGAGCAACAACTGTTCTAAATTATTGCACTATCTGTCCAGCTAATATTTTTATATTTTAAAGGAATAAAATTAACTTCATTACAAAGAAAAATTCAGACTCAATTTTCTCAAGAGCAATTATTTTCATATGATTAAAACAGAAACCCATCCAGTTCAATTTTCATCTGTTAGTTAATTGAAAAAGGGATGATTTTCATATAGATCTAATTACATTTTATTATCAGTTAAAAATGGTAATAGGAGATCTGCTTGGCAAGATTTGGGTGTAGAGCAAAGCTGCTTTCTGTTCATTGTTTTCTGCAAATTAGAGCCCACCAGATGGCCACCTTTCAGATGTCACCTTTAGCCATAGTTCATTATCTGAGTCCAGGGTGCTTTTGGACTTTCCCATCTATAAAAGTCATGGCAATTGTTTTTAGGGATCATCTTCAAGAGCTTATTCTAAAGCAGTCATCATAGCTTGTACAGAAACAAGTCCAGGTATTTTGTTGTATTTCTGGTTATACTTGTATTTCATTTGCTTACAGTAGAAGAGGTTGTGTGATTACAACAGCAACCAGGGAAGTCAGGAGTAACTCTGACAGGAGGAACACATGACTGTAGGTGGGACAGAAAGAGACTGAAGCACAAGAGATAAGAGGTAGTGGGGGCATGCAGTCTAAAAGACATTGGCTCAGGATAGTGTCAGTACCAGTGTGCTTGACACAGGAATGGGCGCTGCTTGTCTGCTGTTCAAAGAATAACTTAGGAGACTTCTTTTGCCCCTAGTGGTAGATAAAGCTGTGTGACTTTGTTTGGTCTGCCAAAAATCAATTTCCCTCATCTTGTTCACACTCACAGTATACTTGGGTAATCTGTGTACAGTCCTAGGCCAAACTCTAATTAAATTGTCGACTATTTTGCCTTAGTGGAGTTTCAATCAATGAAACCCTTCTCCAGAGAGTAACTCTCCAGCCAGCCAGCCCTAAAACTTGCATTTGCCATAATGAAACACACATGTACAAATTATAGGGATCAGTAAACTTGAGATTTAATAAAAAGCAAACATTTGTACAATTTTATTACATACAGAACACGTTTCACTAAGTTTGATATATAATAATGCTTTTGTTCCTGTTAACATCAATTTGGAGCAGATATTCTCTCACAACCACCATGAAGAGACAGAGACAGAGAGGTTAAGTAACAAAGCCAGGGCTTGACCCCAGGAAGGCTGCACTAGCACCTTTCTTCTAAGCCATAGGAAGTGTTATGACATCACACACATGAGCGATTTGATAGTCATATCTTTTACATCTTACAGTTCACCCAATAAGCACAAATGGCAGGTTCTCAGCCAAGCATATCAGTCTGTGAGAGGCAATATGAGCTCAGCTTCCCAAGATCCCCAGTTCTTCAAGGATGGAATGCTTGCAATGGTAGCTGGAGTAGAATTTCAGTCCTGAACGAAGGTCTGGGAAGCCTTGCGTCAGTGCTCACCAAGCCTTTGAAATCCTCAACATGTCATCCTAAAGCTCCAACATATCTACCTTTCAATGACAGCTGATGCTTGGAAAGCAACCTCATCACAGTGAATGGGAGTCCTTTGCTCTTAGCACCATCCTACTGTACTTCACATAGATATCAGACAAAATAGGGAGCAACCATCCCTCCTGTACAGAGACTCTGTACCCATGAGACAGTGACCAGTGATGTCTAATCAGAAGAGACTGAGGATTTGAACTGAGCAGATCTGGAAGAGCCTATACCACAGTGGTCTGGCAAGGCAGGGACTTGATGCTCTTGTTCAATGATATTCATCAGTTTTGGAGAAGAGATGTTGATAGGACAATTTCCTTAACATTGGATATTGGCACATCATGATAGTATATTTGTAAAATGCTTTAGAGTTAAAAAAGAAAAAAACAAAAAACACTTATCTATCCTGTCACTATTGCTGCTTGTTTGAGCCATCATAATAGTAGACTTGGAATGAGGCCTGTTTTGTAATCATCCCTCCTGAATCTCTGACCTTGGTTATGTTCCTCAACAGTTCTGAATCCCTGTCATACGTGAAAAGAATTTGGCTGGCAATAGGCTCAATGCAAACCTCCTTCACACATGACACATGCAGGAAGGCTAACAGGCTTGGCAGAACTGGGCTCATAATCTCTTGCCTCTGTGACCAGTCGTCTTCATCATACAGTACCTGTAGGTATCTGTGTTTTATTTAGTGACTGATGGGGCAGAGGTAGCATCCAGCTGTAAGGAAATGGATCCATGCTCTGAGAAGACAGGGAAGTGAGTGTCATTTGGGCCCTGAGTGGGAGCAATGGCAAATCAATATGATTCTATTAATTGCTCATTCGAGTTTACATAGTCATCGATTTGTCCAGTGGTTGTTTACTTAGCAAGTAGCATATGCCAGGCATTGTGCTTACTAATGGGAAGAAAGTGAATAAGATATACAATAATTTCCCTAAAACTCATTAGCACTTCAGAAAATTCCAAAGATATAACGATTCCTATTGGAAATAGAAATTACTTACTTTGTAATTTAACTCTATTAGATTTAAATCATCTGATTACAGATTATAGAACTAATTATAAAGCTGAAAGGTACATTATGAACTGCTTTTCAGTCTAATTTCTCATTATAGATTTTATTAATGTAGTTTCATATAAATGAAAATTCACCACACAGGTTAGATGGTCTACAGATTTCACAAAACTGTGAAAGAAAAAAGGGCTTAAATACATGGTAAGGCTGTTTTAATGCACTGTCCAATTCTCCTGACATCGTCTAGCACTTCCAATACAATTAGTTAAATAGCTGTAACTTTGGTCAGTTTCAAAACTAGAAAATGGAAAGAAGACACATTGAGGAGAGAGAAAGACTGGCCCTCCACTTTGATATGATCTATTATGCATATTCTATTCTCATCTCTATTCTCATCATCTCCTGGTCAGGTAGAAAACTCTCATTTCACAATGGTACTTTACCTAGGAAAGCCAGACTATTATTTAATAGAGCTTTATAACATCAAACAATCTGGTTGAATAGCTTCACGTTGAGGACTGAGAGTAGAGTTTTGAGTTCCTGAAACTGTGGTTCTTCAGTCCAGAAGATACAGGACTTGCCCTGGCTTACAGAGAAGACCTCTTAGCTTCACAACGGTGCTCAGGGGAAGTGTTGATTTTCATATGGCAAAACCCTCTCAGACCATGAGAAAGCAAAAGCTGGTAGCAAACATTTGCTTTCCCCTCCCTTGCAAGTTACACAATTCAACAGTTCTGACAACATTAAATGGACCAAACTGTTGAACTCTGCTCTGCTCAGATGCCCCTCTTCCACACAGCTTCTGTATTCTTCAAAAATGGAGTCTCTGTGTTTGTCCCAGCTATGTTTCTATTGCTGTGAGAAACACCATGATCTAAAGCAACTTGGGGAGAAAAGACCTATTTTTTCTCTTATGGCTTCTATCCAAAGGAAAGGCAGGGCAGGAACTCATGACAGGAAGCTGAAGGCAGGAGCTGAAGCAGAGGCCAAGGAGGAGTGATGCTTACTAGTTGGCTTGCTGTAGCCTATTCA